TTCTACGTGGTGACTTTACCGAAAGAACCAAGAATATTCAGGATGTAGTCATTTAATATTCAGGATGTAGTTATTTAATATTCAGGATGTAGTTTTTTATATTCAGGATGTAGTTATTTTATATTCAGGATGTAGTTATTTAATATTCAGGATGTAGTTATTTAATATTCAGGATGTAGTTATTTAATATTCAGGATGTAGTTATTTAATATTCAGGATGTAGTTATTTAATATTCAGGATGTAGTTATTTAATATTCAGGATGTAGGTATTTAATATTCAGGATGTAGTTATTTATTATTCAGGATGTAGTTATTTAATATTCAGGATGTAGTTATTTAATATTCAGGATGTAGGTATTTAATATTCAGGATGTAGTTATTTAATATTCAGGATGTAGTTATTTAATCTGGGAGGCCACGCTGAGTGGTACGGACTCGTTTTTGTTTTGTTTAGGACGGGTTGTTGTTGCCACATTGTTTTTCTTTTGGGATGTTTTCAGCCCAATGTATGAGATATTACCTGTCACCTACCGTATTACAGACCAATTCAGACCTTATTGGTCACCCCATGCCCCTTATAAATCTCAACGTTCATAATAAAAACTCCCATCACAAGGGAGAAACACAAACAAATAGACACAAAACATTTTTTTCCCCCGTATTGAAAAAGCTTGTACGCCGTATGGACCTGAAAACGCAATTTCCCTGCACAAGGATACGTGGTAAACCGTATGGGTTGACAGCTGTGTGAACACGTGGAGGGAGCAGTGGCGCAGTTGTTAGCAGTGCACTTGCCCTCTATGAACCCGGCTAAGTTCGATTCCCGGACGCGACTATCGGTGCCGACTGACCAACGTGGTTGACGCTTTTTCATTCATCACACAGACAACTGCGTGGGTTAAAGGGAGCCTTCGTTGCCCAGCGAACAGATTGGTAGGCGACTGCTAGAATGTTGGCGCGCCTGCGAGTGTGTTTGGGAGCGGTTGGTCAAATCCACCAAGCACTTGTGGATCTGAAACGTGCAAGCGAAAATCAGACCGCGACGTGATGTTCATTGCATCCATTCGTGTGCAATTTGTAAGGGCGTGCGGTGACACAGACCTATTTAATTTAAAGGTAACAATCCATTGTTCTTCTTGACGTCCTTTTTACTTTGATGTCTCAACAGCGTTACGGAGATCACGTGATGACGTGAGGGTTCTGCCTTTGTAGTGAGGGTTGTGAGTTGACGCTAAGGAGGGGGGAGGAGGCACCGAGGAGGGGGGAGGCGCCTCGGCCCCCCATGTGGAGTTATGTCACCCGCTAATTATTATGAATGGGGGGGGGGGGGGGTTTCCATTTGGAGGACGTCACCTTATAATGATTATTAATGAGGGGGGCTGTTCGATGTGGAGTGACGTCACCTGCTCGATTATTAATGAGGGAGGAGGGTGCTACATGTGGAGTGACGTCACCTGCTCATGATTATTAATGAGGGGGGAGGGTGCTACATGTGGAGTGACGTCACCCGCTCATGATTATTAATGAGGGGGGGCTGGCCGACGTGGAGTGACGTCACGCGCGGGACACACAGACATTCTTGGCTCAGTAGTAAATGGGCAACACATGAAATCATAAAATCACGAGGGTATTAAACAAGCTCAATTCTCAAACACGTACACAAGCGTTACAAATTACCCTGCATCGATACAATCTGTCGGCTTTCCTGCCGCCTGTGCAATCGGCGACGTAAAACGCAAGCGCACCCTTTGTCACGTTTCCTGAATGTTCAATTCTGGTGGAGCGGTGGCTTCGTCGATTACTCCGCCCTGGTAGTGCACAGCGCACGTGCTGCGAACACATCTCGCGCGGCTCCGTCTCAAAACGATTCCATCGTGTGACAGTCGTTTGACTTCCGATAACACAGTACAATAAGCGACACGTATTCAAAACGTGTCGAATGGTCGACAGCGTGGCGAGTCGTTTCTTTCATTTGTCCCCGGTAATTGGAGGATAGACTAAATATACGTTCATTGAAAAACATTGCCGAAGATCAAACGCGTGTAAAAAGAAAGAATCCCAAGGTAAATAATGAATGAAACGTCGTAACACATTCATATCATAACTAGCGCCATCTATAGGTAGCGGTGGGTTTTTTCTTTTCTTAAATTAACTCTTAAATTTAGACTTCAAAACTTTCGTGACTGCAGGAATTCATATTGTTGGTTATTTCGTGTTCTTCACCTGAAGAAGACCGCTTGTGTTGCGATCGAAACGTCGTGGGTTTTTTTGCTTTTCATTTAGATTTTTTGTATGCTATCTACGTGACTTTACCGAAAGAACCAAGAATGTGAATTATTTTTTATTTGCCATCACCCGTGGAACTTTAACCGGAATTAACAGATTGATCGAGGCAGTGTCCCCTCCACGAATTCACTTGTCAACACATTACACACGCACGACATCTCACAAACTCACACACGCGCGCGCATAATAAAGTACACGCTGTACTTTGGGAACGTTCTTACAGCAGCAACAAAGGCTATCCCGACAACGCTTAGTGATCTCGATAGTACACGCCTCGCCCGCTGATGGGCTCTGCACGAACCCACATTCGCTGATGGTAACACACCAATGGAGCTGCACATCTGCACAACAAAGATCCCATCTCCAATCCCCGCCACGCCTTCCGCAGCCTGAACAGACCGTGGAGGAAAGTGCTCCCAAGCGAGCAGTTATGAAGACCGGAGCGGGACACAAGAGTGTGTTGGGTGCCCAACACCACGCCCGGTCGCCTTTGTCTCCCTGGTTGCAATCCTGTACGACGCGCAGCATCGAGTGCTCTCAACCACGCGCACGTGGCACATCAGATGCGCTCGCACGCACAAAGACATCAACAACAAATATCAGCAGCAGCAGCAGCACTCGCATGCAATCGGGGATTTAAATATATTCTCACACTTCAGGACACGTGCAATGAAGTGTGCGCGTCAGTGAATAGATGTTTTCGGATTAATGCATAATAATATATTACACTGATCATACAAACGTTACATTTGCATATACATTGACGAAAAGGAACGCGGTAAAGACGAGACAGAATCAAGAGCTGATTATTGACTGAATGGATGTCCCCACCCCAAGTCGTGATAAGTCACGAGGCTGGGTGAATGCATGGGTTCCGGAAATATTTGTTATTTATTATCCACATCCATCTCCAATTATTTTGTTACGTAAAGAAAACCCCACCCCATATGACCATGGAAATATAGGATAACATTATATGTAGGATTATGGAGATGCATCCTTTGTACTCGGCGGTAGGAGTGACTTACGCCAATTAGCCCGACTGCAAGCCAACGGAGCAGCGTTCCTGAATAAAATATCGAGCGTGAGAAATGAAACCTTGGTTACACGGCGAGTTTGCACAACGAATGCAGGCGCACACAACGGCCTTTGACGTCACCAAGGCGCCTGTGACGTCACCACGGCGCCTGTGCCAGGCTAGGTGTACTTTTAGGCCACGTGAAGTGTCGGAAGGTTCGCCGGCAGGAGGCCACGGGACAAACCCACGTTCGATGCGTGGGTTGGCTGACTGAAATGGCTGGCACACACGAAGACAAAGATCCCCCGTATAGCCTTCAACAAACTGTTGGGTCAAGTGATATCCAGAGAGGCATGGCGCACGACGGGGTGGGCGACTAAAACCACCCCTGGCCGCCTTTGTCTCCCCCGGGGTTTATTTTTACACACCGCACCAGGTACTCATTCAAGGCCGAGTAAATCGAGCGGAGGACCAGCACTGGTTTGGTCATGAGCGGGAATTTGATTTGGAGTCGCAGGTTTTGTAGCGCATTGCATTGCCCACTACACTATCGCTCCCCCACGCACACACGCATGCACACGCTTACATGCGCGCGCACACACGCACACAAATACGCACACATGCATGCAGTGAAACGCATACATACAATGCACATGAACACATGCTAAATACACAGGCACGCACAAAATAAAGAGACGTACAGCGAGCACAATCGCGCGCACACAAAGATCCCCCGTATAACCTACACATCATGTTGCACAAATGCTGTTAGCGAGGAATTAGTGTATAGGCCAGCAACAGCACACAACGAGGAGTTGGTGTGAGCAAAAACCACTCCCGGCCGCATTTGTTTCCCGCAATGGGGTGCTCATTTGAGGCCGAGTGGACATAACGGAGGACCCAAGCACGTGTCCAGATATTCGTCACTGATTTGGGCCGCGAGGACGGGAATCGATCTCGGGTCGCTGGGTTCGCCGTGCAGTGCGCTGCTTGACTAACCACTGCGCCACCGCTCCCCCCAACCGCACGCGCGCGTGCACTCACGACAAATGAACGGTCAAGGATCTTTCACTCGAACATGCGCGCGTGCGCTCAGAGACAGACAGAGAGCGGGGAGAGAGCAGGGAGGGAGACAAACACAGCCACCAATTACTCACACGTGCCAATTAGAGGCACAGAGATAGAGAGAGAGGAGCGAGCTGGCATTCAATTCGAGAGGTGGGAACCAGGGAGATCGAAATGAGGGAGACAGGCAATGAGGCACTGAGGCGAGGAGACGGGAAGAGACAGGTGAGTCGCAGAGAGACTCAATTATACAGCTATCGATAATTGGAGAGAGAGAGAGGGACACAATGAGGTATTATGGAACGCAGAGAGAGTGAGACACAGCGACGCGCAGTTAGGGAAAGTGGGACAGCGGAGACGTGGAGTGTGGCAGCCACAGAGGAGAACAGAGGGACGAGAGGGAGAGATAAGGCAGAGATGGGAGGAGATATAAAGGAGACAAGAGTGAGGGGAAGAGAGAAGGACAGTGACAGAGGCAGGGAGAGTGGACAGGAGGGGAGAGGCAGGGAGAGAGATAGAGGCAGTGAAAGCAGAGGGAGGGAGAAGCGAGCCAGGGATAGGAGTGGGGAGGCGAAAAAAAAGAGGAGAGGGAGGGGAGAGGAGAGGGGGAGGGAGGGAGGGAGAGGGGAGGAGAGGCACGGAACGAGAGGCATAGAGGGGAGGAAGGGGAGAGGGATTCAGAGAAGAGGGAGAGAGGGTGGCGACCAGAGAATCCTCCAACGCGATATTTTATTACGAGGCGGCCATCGCCAGGTCAGGTGAGAGAGTGTTGATGATGGTGATGGCGATGTTGTCGACGATGTTAATGATGACGGCGGTGTCGATGTGATGGTGCACGTTGACGACAATAACGGTGAAGATGGTGACGTACAGTAGTGATATTGTAATGATGGTGGTCCTGGCCGTGGTGGCTGGGGTGGTGATGTTGCTGCTGGGGCTGATGATGATGACGACGGTGTTGGTGTTGGTAATGATTGATGTTGTTGGTGGTGGTGATGATGGTGGTTGGCGATCGTTGACCCTCGGATTGAACAGCATGCAGTGTCCGGGAATATTTACGGGGAATTCTGCGCAGGGAATTTGCAAGCACACAAATCATCTGCGCGAGTCTTCGACCACATCATCATGAGCAGCAGCAGCAACATCAGCAGTAGCATCATCGTCTCTCGTATTAAATCACCATAATCATTATCTTCATCATCTTTATAATCTTAACTATCCGTCATCATAATCATCTCCACTATCCATAAGACCATCACGGCATTATCGCCGCTGCTGGTAATGACCACGACCATCATCATGAGCAATATCATGATCACAGTCATCATAAATTATAATATACCGCACCCGCATCATCTGTACACACTCCCATGATTATCAACACTTTTGTTATCATCAATCGTTATCATTACCATAATTAAAATAATAAGCATGCCTCTCCTCGTGCATCTCCAAATAGATGCTGACTGTCAGGGCATCATATCAGCCTTCTATGATTACAATCTCTGTAAATCTTCGACTTCATGCATCCTTTGTCTCCTCATATATCGAACTCCCATCTCTCAACGCATCTCCCACCACCCTCCTCCTCTTCTTCCCTTCCTCTCAGTCCACATTCATCTCAGTGCGCATGCCCCAATCTATCAAAACGTTAAAGCCAGGGATTCATTGCTGACGCTTTACTTTCCGGAACTATGTAAGGCTGACTTGGAGTGCGTAAGGCACTACCACTCTAGGAGAACGTTCAGATAACCATACTCGTCATATATTATTGTACCATACATCCCCGTAATCACATGCACAAGTTTATAAATCGCGTGCAAAAACGATTCCCAGAACAGCTGTCCAGATCGTTGCGGCTGAAATAAAGCAATGCAGGTTATATCAAGCATGAGCAGAACTGTTTTGTGTCTCCACTATATAAATGAGTATTATTGTTCATGATTCTATTGGCTTTCCAGAGCAATATCAATGTTTCCATGAAAAATAATCTGCTGTTTATCTCGATGAGCAGTTAATGTATATTTGTATCTGGGTGCTTTGAGTGCTCATCTCTGTGACGCTAAATGAGTATCTCTATGGATATTAATGTATGAGAACATCTATGAGCGTCTATCTCGGTGAATCTCTGTGTATACACTTGTCCAGGGTTAGGAACAGGGGTTTCAATCATCGACTTTCATATATACCACGGTGGCTAGGAGATGTTAACTACCTCGCTTGGTACACAGGAGGTTGTGGGTTCGATCCCAACCCTAACGCCTGTATATTTTGAGTTCGCGTGTTCTCTCCGTAGTCACGTTGATTTTTTCTTCGGGTCCTCTGGTTTTTCCCTCTACATTTAGAAACATGCGTTTAGAGTATTTGGCTGCTACAAATGTCCACACGATAAGCCACTTGGGCTATAATTTGTGGCCAGATCGCTTCTGAAAAAAGAGCGATATAGCTCAGTGGCCTTTACCTGTTAAAATAATAAAAAAATAGTTTAGACTCTGGAAAAGAGGAGCTGAAAACCAAATATCATACTGCTTTGGTCTTTATAGACTATGAAAAAGCATTGTTGGCATTAGTCATCTAAATCCAGGCACCAAGACAAACGTGTTTATTCGGGTTGTGTTTTTAAACATACACATTCACGCCGATGTAGCAGAGGCATTGAGGCTGCATCGAGCATCAAAGCTCGTAGGGGAAGAGGAGTCCGCGTGAAGAAACGCTATCGCTAAAAATTATTCAACGGTGACATTTGAATAACTTTAAGAAAAAAAAAACTGGACTGGAGAAATAAAGGCATGCACATCAACGGTGAAAATATCAATCGTGTCACATTTTCTGATGCCAGCCTTTTATAACCAAAAGAATTAGGATACATTTTTTTTTCAACATTTAGTATGGAAGACCATGAGAGACCTTGAGTGTTCATACTGTAACAGTTCCAATCCTGTCATCTTAAGGGCGACCACCACTTGTGACTTACCAGTTATCAATCCCATTCATCCTGCTCCCATGCTCCCACCGTTTATTGTTTGACATCTTCAGTCACTGTTACTGCTCTATTATCTGTTTTCCATTCTCAGCCTTTTCCACGTGGGTTATACAGAGTTCTATGTAGTCGAGCTTCTTGCTTGGGATTCTAATCATCTGCGTCACTCCTTTTCTTCATCTCATCATCTGATGCTGCCACGTTGACGGTGGTGCACGACCACATACAACTACAACAATAACAAAAACACTCAAACACATTCCTTGTCAATAACGCTGTGGCCTTGAAAAGGATAAGTACACGATAGGTGACATTTCGGCCAATGGACCTTCTCTATCGCACATGGGGGTCATGACGATGGTTTGTCGATCGGTGATTTGCCACTTATTCCCTGGGGTTTAACTATGCTCGCTACTTTCAGTGCGCTATACATTACAATACGGCTTACTTAATTATTTACAGTGGTGACATCCACTTAATCATTTTGCTTCTCTGGGGACTGGAATATAAAATCAGTCTAAATCCTCCTCTCCCTCCCTGAGCTATTCTTTAATGTCCACTGCCTTGCTACCGTTGCCTCTCATGAATTATGTCCTAGTTTTTTGGAATGTCCAAGTGTAACTGATATTGCATCAGCCTGTGTCCACTACTTGTCTTGATTTTTCCGAGGACAGGGATATCCCTGCCATTCCTGTGATTGTTTGTAATGTCTGTAATAATCAAGATATATTATTCTCTCTGGTTCTTCACTCCGATGCTCAATTTGGCGAGCATCTTCTCATCACTCTTCCATTCAACTTACCGTTGCACTCTCCTTTGATTCTTCTCATGAATGCGAATTGCGGAGCAGCTGTGCAAGTCGCTGTCTGTTGTGAATCCAGCTGCTGTATTCCTGGGCACGAACGAGTGAATCCCAATCAACCCCCGTGCCCTCGGAGAGCGCTCGCAGTGGACACGAGTTCACCCCCACGTGGTCCATCTGAGCTCCATCCAGGCCAAAAATCCTGCTTGGCTTCCGAGATCTAACGAGACCGGGCACATTACGAGTGGTTCGGTCACAACACTCGATAGCAATGATATCGTGGAGCAGCAGCGACGCGGCAGCACTTAACGAATTGCATTGTGAACTGAACCAGTAAACATGGAATATCGGGCCAACGCTGGCATGTGGTTGGGAACCGTTCGCCTCCAACAAATGGGCCAACGATCCATGTTTACCGGGGTCACGATCTTTGCATGATGCTGTTGCACGAGTACGTTTGCCCTCATTTAAAAATCAGGTCAATTTCCTCGTACACTCGGTGCACTTTTACATCTTCGTAGTTTTTTTTGTCGCTTGGTAAATCTCACGCCTGCACAGGTACGTAAATATCCACGCAGTCCACCATGCACCCACGCACACATCGCAGGCTGGGTCAACCTGGGAGCGGCTGAGCCCCACTGCATTGTGGATCCCGGTGAAGTTGCACCGCTTGTGCCCTCGATAGCTTCACCATTAAAAATAATAATACATCTGTTCATCTCTTGAGAGTGTATGATAAACTACGAGTCTTTATGTCGAGAGATGCGCATGCGTGCTCACCTCTCCGTGTCTCACGCTGTCCCCCAGGATGACTTTGCTGGCCTTTCTCCTGTGCCTTGCACTCGCGATGCGGGCACACGCAAGGTGAGTTGACGGTGTCGATGAGCGACACTCTGATTCTTAAACTCTTTAGGATGACAACCCCCCTCCTCTCCCTCCCTCCCTCCCCACCAACTTACCACTCTCTACCAAGTCCACAATACACAGGGAGATCGCATGCTGGGCATGCTGCTGTTAGCGAGGCACTTGTTTCACTTTATTAGACTTTTTAAACTAGCAACACGGTGCTGACGTCTCCTGCGCACAACTGAAATTTTTCCTGCATGTTATCCACATCACAGAATGTGTCCCCATGCAAGGTTTTCACAGGGAGGGAGCACGCCCCATGGGTTTAAGACCACTGGTGTACACTTTGGTTATGAGTGATGTTCCGTGTGTGATGGTCAGTGATGTTCTGTGTGTAATGTTCGCTGAGTGATGTTCGGTGTGATGTTGGGTGTTTCGATGGTGTGATACTTTAGTGTGTGATGTTTGCTGCATGATGATTGGTGTGATGTTGGGTGTGCGATGGTGTGATGTTCGGTGTGTGATGTTTGCTGCGTGATGATTGGTGTGATGTTGGGTGTGCGATGGTGTGATATTTTAGTGTGTGATGTTTGCTGCGTGATGATTGGTGTGATATTGGATGATGATGGTGTTATGTACTCTGTGTGATGTTTGATTGTGTGATGGTGATGTCAGTGATGGAGGGGATGCCCAGGACAAAATCACGGTTTTCACAAAAATCCTGGATGGACTCCTCAAAGGATACGACAATCGTCTGAGACCTGGCCTCGGTGGTAAACAAAACCATCACCAACCACAACCACCAATGGCACAACCAAAACAACAACCACCACACCCAACTACAACCACCAATATGAACCATAGCGCCAAATACCGCGACAACCTCAATCACCAATAACCACAGCCACCAATGCTAGCCACACCACAATCAACAATCTTGGCCACAACTATATCCATTACAACCTTCAATTTCATAAACATAACAACCACAATAGTTACAACCACCGTGACCCCTGACCGTGTCTCCCCTGTTCCCGCAGATGGGGTCACGGAGGTAAAGACGAACGTCTACGTAACGAGTTTCGGACCGGTGTCCGACACGGACATGGTGAGCACCATCGACACCATCAACGCCAGGCACCACCATCACCATTATCACTATTACCATCACCACCAGCATCACTGTCATCACTATCATCACTGTCACCAGCACCACCATCAGTATCACCACGCCCCAGTATTTTCACCGTATCCCCGTGTGCACACAGGAGTATACGGTGGACGTATTCTTCAGACAGACCTGGAAAGATGAGCGCCTCAAGTTCACCGGTAGGAGGTCATGCATGGTTTTGGGCGCACAGTTGTGTGCGTGCTTACATGCGTGTGCATGGGCATGCGAGAATGTACGTGCGTGTGTGTGTACGTGTGTGTGAACATGTGTGGGGAACGTGGTGCTGGCCAGCCTCAAATTATTACCTGGTTCGATGCACAATCATCGACCCTGGGGAGGCGAAAGCAGCCAAGTTGTGGTGCTGGCCACCCACCCCCGTCACGTGCTGTGCCGACATTTATAGGTGCTCGCAAACAGCACTTGCCCCAACAGTCTGTTAAAGGCCATGGAAGGGGGACAGTGGGAGGGGGGGGTGAATGCAGAATCTATTCCCTTGTACTTTTGTGTGCACCCAGGCCCCATGAAAATGCTGCCCGTCAACAACATGATGGCCTCGCGCATCTGGACGCCCGACACGTTCTTCCACAATGGCAAGAAGTCGGTGGCTCACAACATCACGACTCCCAACAAGCTGGTCCGCATCATGGAAGACGGCACACTGCTCTACACCATGAGGCACGCGCGCACCCTCGTACGCACGCCCACACCGCGCGCTCGTTGCACATCGTCGTCTGCGCCGAGGGTAGAACGTGCACACGAATCGGAGTGTACTACCCCGCCGCGATGCATTGGTTCACAAGCAGCGCGGTCATGAACGACAACAATTGAAAATAAGGTGAAAAGCGCGCAAACAGAAGTGCGGAGAAATACGTGCGCTCAGAAGCGCACCGAGAGATGGAGTGAGGAAACACGTGGATTAGAGAGAATTATGCAGGTTAATGACATCATTCGACCTATTAATAAGAGTGCGGGGCTTGGGCAGAATGCATAATGGCAGGAAGGGATGAAGGGCGATGGTCAAGAATGATAACAGAGCAGGGAGCCTAGAAATGGAACCACACACAACATACACATTCGTATATCACGCATACACACCTTTATACCAAACACACTTCCACCACGTGCATTCCATTCACATTCCACACGCACATACAAGTAACAAATAAAAAGACAAACACACACACACCCTCATAACTACCTCACAAATGCCACCACCGCGTCCACACATCCATTACGATGCCAAGATGTCGCAATGATCTTGCCATGTTACTGTTGAGGCACTGGCGCTGTGATGGCAATGCTACTGTGGTAAGGTTGGTGCTTCGGTGGTCTTGTGATGGCGACGTCAATGGTCCTGTGATGGTGACGGTCATGCGATGGTGGTGCAACATTTACGTGATGGGGATGGCGCGGTGATGTTGATGTGATTGTGGTGTAATGGTGGCTGTGATGGTCATGTGATCATGTTCAGGCTCACCGTTCACGCCGAGTGTCCCATGTCCCTCACCGACTTCCCGATGGACATGCACGTGTGCCCACTCAAGTTTGGGAGCTGTGAGCTACAACAACAACCACAACCACCACAACAACAACCACCAACTCAACCACGACAATCACAACCGAGAGAATTACATACTCCACAGCCAGAACTACCAGAATCACTACAACTACAAAAATAACCACAACCACCACAATCACGACAATAACCACAATCGCCACAACAACCGCATGCACCATGACAGCAAACACAATGAAATAAACATAACCTTTACCATCACAACAAACACAACAACAATAACCACAATCAATAACCCTTACCATCAAAAACATAACCATGCCCATTATAACTACCACACCCTAATCACTGCAACCATCACATGCACAACAACCCCATCGCTTACCATAACCATCATCATCTTCCACAACCACAACAATCATTACAATTACACTATCACCAAGCATGATCACCACTTTTATATATGTGTGTTAAACTTCTTCCGCACCGTACTTAGCCAATCGTAGCTAAACGGAGGCTGCGAATACCAACACTGGTGTGGAGCAGTTTGTCACCGTGTGGCGTGGTGCAGCAGTGTGGCCTGTCACGGTGTGGTGAGGTGTGGCGTGGTGCAGCAGTGTGGTCTGTCACGGTGTGGTGAGGTGTGACGTGGTGCAGCAGTGTGGTCTGTCACGGTGTGGTGAGGTGTGACGTGGTGCAGCAGTGTGGTCTGTCACGGTGTGGTGAGGTGTGACGTGGTGCAGCAGTGTGGTCTGTCACGGTGTGGTGAGGTGTGGCGTGGTGCAGCAGTGTGGTCTGTCACGGTGTGGTGAGGTGTGGCGTGGTGCAGCAGTGTGGTCTGTCACGGTGTGGTGAGGTGTGGCGTGGTGCAGCAGTGTGGTCTGTCACGGTGTGGTGAGGTGTGGCGTGGTGCAGCAGTGTGGTCTGTCACGGTGTGGTGAGGTGTGACGTGGTGCAGCAGTGTGGTCTGTCACGGTGTGGTGAGGTGTGGCGTGGTGCAGCAGTGTGGTCTGTCACGGTGTGGTGAGGTGTGGCGTGGTGCAGCAGTGTGGTCTGTCACGGTGTGGTGAGGTGTGGCGTGGTGCAGCAGTGTGGTCTGTCACGGTGTGGTGAGGTGTGACGTGGTGCAGCAGTGTGGTCTGTCACGGTGTGGTGAGGTGTGGCGTGGTGCAGCAGTGTGGTCTGTCACGGTGTGGTGAGGTGTGGCGTGGTGCAGCAGTGTGGTCTGTCACGGTGTGGTGAGGTGTGGCGTGGTGCAGCAGTGTGGTCTGTCTCGGTGTGGTGAGGTGTGGCGTGGTGCAGCAGTGTGGTCTGTCACGGTGTGGTGAGGTGTGGCGTGGTGCAGCAGTGTGGCAGATTCAAGGTGTGGTGAGGGGTGGCGTGGTGCAGCAGTGTGGCCTGTCACGGTGTGGTGAGGTGTGGCGTGGTGCAGCAGTGTGGCCTATCACGGTGTGGTGAGGTGTGGCGTGGTGCAGCAGTGTGGTCTGTCAAGGTGTGGTGAGGTGTGGCGTGGTGCAGCAGTGTGGTCTGTCACGGTGTGGTGAGGTGTGGCGTGGTGCAGCAGTGTGGCAGATTCAAGGTGTGGTGAGGTGTGGCGTGGTGCAGCAGTGTGGTCTGTCACGGTGTGGTGAGGTGTGGCGTGGTGCAGCAGTGTGGTCTGTCACGGTGTGGTGAGGTGTGGCGTGGTGCAGCAGTGTGGTCTGTCACGGTGTGGTGAGGTGTGGCGTGGTGCAGCAGTGTGGCCTGTCACGGTGTGGTGAGGTGTGGCGTGGTGCAGCAGTGTGGTCTGTCACGGTGTGGTGAGGTGTGGCGTGGTGCAGCAGTGTGGTCTGTCACGGTGTGGTGAGGTGTGGCGTGGTGCAGCAGTGTGGTCTGTCACGGTGTGGTGAGGTGTGGCGTGGTGCAGCAGTGTGGTCTGTCACGGTGTGGTGAGGTGTGGCGTGGTGCAGCAGTGTGGTCTGTCACGGTGTGGTGAGGTGTGGCGTGGTGCAGCAGTGTGGTCTGTCACGGTGTGGTGAGGTGTGGCGTGGTGCAGCAGTGTGGCCTGTCACGGTGTGGTGAGGTGTGGCGTGGTGCAGCAGTGTGGTCTGTCACGGTGTGGTGAGGTGTGGCGTGGTGCAGCAGTGTGGTCTGTCACGGTGTGGTGAGGTGTGGCGTGGTGCAGCAGTGTGGCAGATTCAAGGTGTGGTGAGGTGTGGCGTGGTGCAGCAGTGTGGTCTGTCACGGTGTGGTGAGGTGTGGCGTGGTGCAGCAGTGTGGCAGATTCAAGGTGTGGTGAGGTGTGGCGTGGTGCAGCAGTGTGGTCTGTCACGGTGTGGTGAGGTGTGGCGTGGTGCAGCAGTGTGGCCTGTCACGGTGTGGTGAGGTGTGGCGTGGTGCAGCAGTGTGGTCTGTCAAGGTGTGGTGAGGTGTGGCGTGGTGCAGCAGTGTGGTCTGTCACGGTGTGGTGAGGTGTGGCGTGGTGCAGCAGTGTGGCCTGTCAAGGTGTGGTGAGGTGTGGCGTGGTGCAGCAGTGTGGTCTGTCACGGTGTGGTGAGGTGTGGCGTGGTGCAGCAGTGTGGTCTGTCACGGTGTGGTGAGGTGTGGCGTGGTGCAGCAGTGTGGTCTGTCACGGTGTGGTGAGGTGTGGCGTGGTGCAGCAGTGTGGTCTGTCACGGTGTGGTGAGGTGTGGCGTGGTGCAGCAGTGTGGTCTGTCACGGTGTGGTGAGGTGTGGCGTGGTGCAGCAGTGTGGCCTGTCACGGTGTGGTGAGGTGTGGCGTGGTGCAGCAGTGTGGCAGATTCAAGGTGTGGTGAGGTGTGGCGTGGTGCAGCAGTGTGGTCTGTCACGGTGTGGTGAGGTGTGGCGTGGTGCAGCAGTGTGGCAGATTCAAGGTGTGGTGAGGTGTGGCGTGGTGCAGCAGTGTGGCCTGTCACGGTGTGGTGAGGTGTGGCGTGGTGCAGCAGTGTGGCCTGTCAAGGTGTGGTGAGGTGTGGCGTGGTGCAGCAGTGTGGTCTGTCACGGTGTGGTGAGGTGTGGCGTGGTGCAGCAGTGTGGCCTGTCACGGTGTGGTGAGGTGTGGCGTGGTGCAGCAGTGTGGCCTGTCACGGTGTGGTGAGGTGTGGGGGAGGTTGATCGCGACGCGGTCTGGTTTGACGTGGCTCTGCCGAGGTGACGGTCTCGTGCAGTCTGTCAAGGTGCGAGTGGTGCGATTGCGGACTGTCATGGTGCGGTGCGGTAGATGCGTACCCAATCTCGGAGGTGCGCTACGAGTGGACCAATGGCAGCAACAACTCGGTGAACGTGGCGTCCGATGGCTCCCGGCTCAACCAGTACCACCTCTACAAGCAGACGGTCGGCAACGAGACCAAGAGGACGAGCACAGGTCCGCAGTACGGAGACGGCACTGGAGGGGGGGGGGGGACATGGGGGAAACCGGTGGAACAAAGGGGGGGGGGGACACGAGGCAGACAGGGGTACTAGGGATCACACCGGGGTACTTGGGCCTGGGGACAAACAGTTTGTTTGTTTACATTGTCCACACTGCATTGTTTTTGCATCTTGTACTTAGTCTGCAATCAATTCCCGACTGCGCTATTCTCTTGTTCTGGAACCTTGGGGATGCGCTGCATGGGAGGTGCGGTATAAATAAAACGACGATTACAGAACAGAGGGGACACACTGGTGCAATGGAGCACAAAAGACACTTGAGGCAACACACAGGGGAAAAAGCAGTGATGCACGGGCACACACACACACGCAAAGACTCCCAGCGACATGGGGAGACGCATGGTGACGCTGATGGGTGTGGGGGCGTGCAATAATTTTTATCATCTCGTTTAGATTCCCTCTTCATTTCTTGTTTCGTTTGTAAAATTGCATTTGCTCTGTTAGCCTGAACGTAACACGAACGTATAATTTGCACACGTAACAAACAAACAATCAACACAAGATTCTCATGCACGCGATTCTCATACGTGCACCCCGCGGGCCTTAGGAATCGATATTGCATTGCTAAAACGGTGCAACGTTAGATGCCGAGTGTGTGCGGTGTCTGTGCGCAGGTGAGTACACGGTCATGGTCATCGACTTCCACTTGCAGCGGAAGATTGGGTACTTTGTCATCCAGACGTACCTGCCCTGCATCATGACAGTCATTCTGTCCCAGGTGTGCTCCACACCGCAACACGACGGCTCAGGCAATGCACCGAGCACGCCATGGGTTCGCCTAGGGCTTCATTTCTCACCGGTTATTTTTCCGAGTTCGCTAGGACACTTGGGCAGGCACGCGACTAGTATCCACAGCCATAACAAGAGATCTACTCAATGTTGGTGTGCCAGGTTCGGAATTAGATTGTGGGTCATCAATTCAAACAGACCTGGCTGAAATGAAGCACTGGGTGTAGCCCTGATGTTGGCGACACCACGGTATCCAGCGTCTAGATTATGGTACATGCCACGCCAAGGGACGCACATCTATGGCTCATGCAACACCAACATACCATGGTATACATCACAAAAAGCATGCCTCAATACCCATGTCAGGCCACCTACTCTGTGGGTCTGGCAGGCCCCCCCCCCCCCCACCTAATATCTTATTGTATTCATCCAATGTTGTTTTCATCCACATTACTTCTGTATGAACAATTTATTGAATACTTAGCCAAATGAGGCTCTTAAATATCACAATCTACAAGAGATGCATTTAACAGATCTACAAGGCGGCAACGACAGTTTGTGTAGGCAGTCCGGTAACACAGATGTTGCAGCCCAAATATCACAACCTACATTTAGAAGAAAAAAAAAAAAACAGGGCCTTGTTATCACGGCCAACAGTGCAAACCCGTTCGGGATTTATCACAGCGTAGCTCAAAGTGAAAAGAAAAAGAACTCAAGTCCCGTGGAGCAGCAGCCGGCAGAGCGGGGAATGAGTGGAGCAGTGGGTCCAGCGAGCGGCGCCGAGCCCCACTCGCTCGCCTGCTGCTCCGACCCGCCGTCTTTTATATCACCCAACAATTTATCTTCTTTTCTCGAGCGTACGGCAATAGCCTTCTCCGCAGCGGCACCACCCATTACGTGCATTCGCGCGACCTCAAAACGCAACGAATACCGCCACCGTCATCCAAGCGAAATGGAACGGCGTTAACCCCCAATGATGATGCCCGCCCTTTGGTGTGGCCCAACCTGCGGCCGATTTTTTTCTATTTCTCACATTGCCAGCCTCGCCCACGGCTCCCTTCCTCCGCGAGTGAGTTAGTGAGGATGCTACAGGTACCGGGCGGGTGGCAATCGCCCAGCCAATTTTACTTTCCGTCGCCCAGTCCACCTCTTATCGCTCCTCACTTTCACCGTGGCGACGTTGGGTCCCTGCCGCCGAGGGAAGTCAATGCCAGTTTGACGTTCAGAAAAAAAAAAACACCCGGGGTTAGAAATGTGATAACGGAGCGAGCTTTTGGCGTGGCTTCGTGGTTATTAACAGTGGCTTAGAGTAGTCGGTGCCAAGCCTTTTTGTGCCCTTGATGGCCCAAGTGGAAAATCGATGTTGCTACAGTGCAAATTCCCCGATGCGTTATTCAGTCACTCAATTTGAAACTGATTAAGGTAGACGAGTTGAACGATGCTGAAACCTTCCCCCCCAGCCATATGAAAGCAAAAGTAAATTGCCGAGCTGCTCACACAAAGCGTTAATCCCACATGGAAGTAGTTTGCGGGATTTGCATACGTGACGGGAAAGTTTTTACCCCATCATATTCTTTCATAACGACCACACGTAAGACCGTTTCCGATGCATCAGTCGCGACGGTGAAACCCTCATTTAAAAAACGCTCCTGCACCATTCTGCTTTTCAACTATTCAAACACACCATTTGTTTCCTTGGCCAAAATGGCATGAAATATCAAAGTGTATTTGCTCTATCGACAAAATGCAATTTTTTTTTATGGTTGTTCTATCTTGGTTGTGAGTGCTCTTTTGCACGTAGGTTTTGAGACATCTTGTGACCTAAATCTGCCCCTGTCCTAGCACATGACCCAAAAACTCAGTCTTAGTGAAACCTATCTGGTATTCTGTCAGCCTTGTTAAATTGTATTGCCTGAGTCGTCAGAGAACCTGAGAAAGTATCGTCAAATGTTTCTCCCACGTGTCTATGTGGACACACGGGAGGATGCACTCCGAGATGCCCTGGTGGGAAGGGCACTCTATCAAAAACAACATATTATAATCATTTTTACTATATTATTGTGATCAGCGGTATGTGGTATGTCCCCGATGAGCATCATCACCATCAGTTGACTAAAGTCAGCTGGAGCTTTCACCATTCTAAACGGCATCATTTGTGAGTTGGTAGCAAACGCAGTTTGTCGTGAAGGCTTCCAAAAGTCAGTCTCCTTTGGCAACATGGCTTTCCTGAGATCTGCAATCACCCAGACAATGCCCACGACACCAGACACACTGCGGTGTACACCAGGCTCCAGACATCATCACACATCACTCCTCACTCCACAGCACACTATTTTAGCCATTACACGATATCCCACCGTGCATTGCACATCAAAGACAAAGATCCCCTGCATAGCCTTAACAGACTGTTGGGGCAAGTGGTGTTAGCGAGCACCTATAAAGGTCAGCACAGTACATGAGGGGGTGGGTGGCCAGCACCACGCCTTACCGCCTTTGTCTCCCTAGTGGTGATGTTTACACACCCCGCCAGGTACACATTTGAGGCTGAGTCGACCTAGGGGAGGCCCAGGAGGATCGTTACAAATAATCGTCAGTGATGGTGGCCATGAGCGGGAATCTAACTCGGGTCGCCGAGTTTGTAGCACAGCGCGCTAACCACTACACTACAGCTCCCCAGATTGCACACCACACCACACACAATGCTACTCTCAACATACTACACAAAACTACACTACACCCTACACTACACACGTGGTTTGTGCCCTGAACAGGGTAGGGATATTACGAGGTTTCAGTTGTATATATGTGTGTGTGTGTGCACGTGTACCTGTTTGCATGTGCATGTGTCTGCATACATGTATTTGTGTTCATATTTTTACATGTATATATTTGCCTGTGCGTATATATGTCTGTGCATACACGTGTAGTGAGTCCTACTGAGTCGCAGACGTTCTTTAGAGGCAACACTTTTATTGTAACATCAACATGTTAACACAAAGGGGTAACTGCCCCTTCACCAGATACAGCCTAGGGTGGTGACCACCCAGCTAACTACTCTATACGTAGCAGTTACAGCTACGAAGGGTCAGACCCTCACTCGGGTCCCCGACCACGTGTTGATGCCTCGTAGAGCTTCGAGCTTGTAGACGTGGAGCTTCCAGCTTGTAGACGTGGAGCTTCCAGCTTGTGGACGTGGAGCTTCCAGCTTGTAGAACGAAGAACCTCGGTCACTCCCAGGGACCCGCCTTATATCCCCCTGGGTCGGGGCGCTCCGCCCTTGGCCCCGCCCGCCTTCCAGCTCCCTCTCGATCCCTCTCGAGCGCTCTCCTCGGACACGTGATCGCCCCCTAGCCCCCCCACCTGGGGCCTTCTCTGTGGACACTCCGGATCACGTGTCTACGGGGTCAACCCTGCCTCTGGACACTCTCCCGCTCCCCCTTGTGGGAGCCCGCACTACACGCGATGCGTGGTGCCCGCGCTATCCCAGCTCTCACCAAGCGCCGCTAGAGCTGGTACTACACCCGCCCACGGGGTGTACGCGATGACGGTGCATCGCACGCCGTGCTGTGCTAGAGCCAGCCCCACACAGCAACCCACACGGTGCTGTCCACGACGTAGGAACGCCACGGCCCTCCTGGGCCGGCACCATACATTGACATCCCCGATGTCACTACACATACATGCATGTAACTGTATGTATATTTATATCTGTTTGTGTGTGTTGTGCCTGAAGGTGTCATTTTGGCTCAACCGAGAATCCGTCCCAGCCAGAACGGTCTTTGGTGAGAATTCTTATACATACACACACATACATAGATCCCCCATATAGCTTACATCAGCTGTTGAGGAAAGTGCTGAAAGTGCTGTTAGTGAGCACCTAATGAAGGTCGCCTTTATCTTCCCAGTGCTGATGTTTACACACCGTACCAGGTACTAATTTAGACCTGAGTTGACCTAGGGAAGGCTCCGTACCAATTCAGATATAACTTGCCTCTGATGTTTGCTTTAGCCCAGGAATTAAATCAAGTTTGTCAGGTTCATAGCGAATCGTATGAACCAGTGCCCTAACACTCCTCAAATAGAGATACAGACATGCGTGGTCGCATGCACACAATCACATCCCTGTGTCCCTCCAGTTCCTCTGTCTCCACGTCTCCATCTCCATGTTCCTCAAATCTCCGTATCCTCATCTTGTTTCTGTGTCTCCACTCCCCATGTATCACTGCATCCCCTACATTCATTCCCATTCCTCGATTTTCCTTTGGTGCCCCATGTCTCCCCCATCTTCTCCATATCTGTGTCTCCCCATGTCCCTGTATCTCCCCATCTCCCGATATCCTTCCTGTGTCCCCACGATCCTCCGTATGCCTCCTTGTCTCCCTGCCCCTGTGTCTCCACATCTTCCCATGTCCTTCCCATGTCTCTCTGTGTGCCTCCGTGTCCCCCTGCCCTTGTGTCTCCATGTCTTCCCATGTCCTTCCCATGTCTCTCTGTGTGCCTCTGTGTCCCCCTGCCCTTGTGTCTCCGTGTCATCCCGTGTCCTTCCTGCGTGTCCCCGTGTCCAGGCGTGACGACGGTGCTGACGATGACGACGCTGAGCATCAGCGCACGCTCGTCGCTGCCTAAGGTGGCGTACGCCACGGCCATGGATTGGTTCATCGCTGTGTGCTACGCCTTCGTCTTCTCAGCGCTCATCGAGTTCGCCACCGTCAACTACTTCACCAAGCGGGCCTGGGCCTGGGATGGAAAGCACGCGCCGCCTGCTAAGGTGATGCGCACCCACGACAACTGCCATAACTCAAAACAAGTCGTCAAAAAAAATCACGCATACACTTGGACTAAGTAACGTTTTACAAACATTCGTTTGTATGAAAACCGATGACGGGTTTCTGTCAGTGCAAACGCATGCCTGCAAATAGTTATATTTGCTATGGTTTGTGTCTCAAGTCTTGGGCATTCCCTTGATCAATTTGGCTGGTTTTCAATAAGCCCATAAGTCCATAATAGCAACACAACTTGGTATTAAATTTGTTGGTTCACTTTGCATCACCTATAAGAGAATTAAAATGACACCACTATAACACACATGTGACGGAAAGAGCAAATGCATAAATACTATTAATCGTAGTTTGAAAGCGTTTATAGCTGAAATGCTCAACCGCAAAACCTAGGAGAATTGCAGTGACCTTTTAGCCATGTTCTAAAATAAAACTAAACAATTTTAATTTTACCAGGTAAGGCCTCTTACCCATATCGCTCTTTTTTCAGAAGCAACCTGGCCACAAATGATAGCTCAACGAAGTGGCTTATCACGTGGAAATTTCTAGCAGCCAAATACTCTAAACGCATGTTGATTCGACTATAAAACAACCTCGCACACACTGCCCTCACCTCCCACCAACCGCGTCTGACCTCCGACTTTGCTCTCCGGGCCCTCCACTGGCTCCCAATCCCCATCAGAATCACATTCAAAATCGCCAGCCTCTGTTACACTGCCTGCAGTACCGGTTGCCTTCCATACCTCTCAGACCCCCTGCCGCCCTGCTCCCAAACCACCACCAGAACTCTCCGCAGCTCTACCCAGGAGTTACTCTCGACACCGAGAGTCAGGACCACGATAGTCATGCGTCGTTTCTCTGTTGTCGGCCTCTCCACCCGGAGCGCCATTCCCCTCCACATTCGCAGCGCTGACTCTTTACCTACATTTTAACGCCTTCTCACAAGCATATTATTTATTGTGACTTTTACTGAGCAAATCTCTGAGCGAGGCTCTGCGCCTCAGGTTCGCTGCCTTTGGACAAGGGAAAACTGTGCACGTAACAAATTACCATTATTACTATTATTCGAAATGTGGAGGGAAAAAAACGGAGCATCGGGAGAAAAATCCACGCAATCACGGAGAGAACATGCAAACTCCAAAAATACAGGCGTCAGGGTCAGGATCAGGATCGAACCCATGACCTCCTGTATACCAGGCGAGGTAGTTAACATCTCGCCACCATGGCACCCAGTAACAGAACTTGCATAGCACGTTCATAGTGTATAGCATAGTCACAACAGTAATCCCAACCCCAGCTCGGTCATAACCCCTAAATCACCCCTAATCTGTTAATTCCATACCTGATCCCAAGTAAATTTACCCGAATGTGCCCAATCTTTTCAGAACTCAAAAGCTAAGCAGCTTTATGCCTGGCTAGCCCTGGCATAGGAGACTACCCGGAAATACCAGGTGTGGAAGGATTGAGATGGCTAGGAGATGGCTAGGAGATGGCTAGAAGATGGCTAGGAGATGGCACGCAGAAATGGATACTTGAATACATCAGTGTTCTCCGGTTTCTTTCCGCATGCCAAAGAAAGTGAGTCTCAGTGAAGTTATTTTAGGCAAACATATATTTATACATGTACAGCCCTTTTGTCAATCCACTGCTGGATAAAGACCTCCACCACACTGTGGGGGTCATGGGGGTTATTTGACCAGTGCGAGTTGAAGGTGGGGAGAATAGATGTACAATACAAGAATGGATTTTTATGCACTTGCCTCTGCCACCCACCACGTAACGCTATAACCTACAACACCTATTGTGCATGGTGATTGCCCATCCAAGCGCTATCCAGGCTCAAGGCCTGCTTGGCTTCTGAGATCTGACGAGCTTTGGTGCATTCCACGTGAATTGGTCATTGGCAATTTTCGTCACTTGGACATTATTTACAATTTACTTACTATTATTTTAACCGTAACATGATCGCCGGATTTGACATTCACCGTGCAGAAGAAGGAGCGCCCTCTGCCGCTGTCCATGGGACGCAAGCGTCACCACGCCATGATGCGTGCCCTGGAGGGGGGAGCCCCCCTCTACCCGCGCACCACTACGCTGGGTCACCAGTCCCGCGGCTCGCACTACCCGCACACCACAGCCCTTGGTGCCGTACTCACGGGCAAGGCGGCTATGCAGGTATGGCACACACCACTATACATCATACCACAGCAAACTACATGTCATGTCGCACGCCACGGTGCATCGTACGCCATAGAACCACGTGTCTCGCACGATCGTAGTACACCGCGACCTCATCACAACCCCGCTCGCTCAACCCCCCCCCCCCCCACCTTCCCCTTTGCCGTTCAGGGGGTCACGGGGGGCTTCTCGTCAGGGGTTTACGCCCCCCCCCGCGAGGGCCAGGCCGTGCTCCGAGGCGTAGGCGGTGGGGTACCCCTGCACCTGGGCGGGGGGTGTGTGGCCGCCGAAGGTGGTGCCCACCCCCCCGTGATGCCGGCGTGCTCGACGCCGCGGCCCCTGCGCACCTACAACAGCGTGAGCCGCATCGACAAGCTGTCCCGCGTCGTCTTTCCCATCCTCTTCGCCATCTTTAACCTCGTCTACTGGGCCACCTACCTCAACCGCAAGAAGCAGCCCGGGTAGGGAGGGTAAAGGGGGCGTATGGCACCCCGCGCCGAGGGTGCGGAGGGACGTAGCGCACGCTGCCACACACGTCACAGATACAAAGTTTAGGATTATCCGAGGGAAAAAAATGGATTTGGATTGATAACAAAAATGACTTTTGGCGGCACAAGAAGTGACATTACCTCCTGTGAGGCCACTGACATCCTTTTCCTACGTGACTTTACTTTTACCATATGTGGTGTTGCTTAACTTATGAACATATACAAATGTTTGAACTCAAATTATCATTCTAATGGAACTTTATGTTCAAAATTTTTATTCAATTATAAATATTTAATACTATTAATTTAAACCCGAAATTATAAAATAAAATCTGAAATAAAGTAAAAAAAATCTGATAACCGAATAAATTAAATCCAAAACTCATCCCTAATAATCCATCAAGGGTTGGGAACCTTCTGCTGAGGGCCAGATAGACATTTTAATACCGTTTAGCGGCCGTACGTTAACACACACCTCACCTAATAACAATGAGACAAATAATACGTGTGTTGCCGAGTCTGAACGTGCTAAAGTGACCGAACGTGCAAAAATTATAAACACTGTGTTGCCAGGGATAAAACATTCCCCGCTAGTGGCTGATTAGTACGGCTAAACTTATTGCATTGACTGATAAATATTGTTTGCTAGTCGTTTCGAAGTGGTGCGCCTCACGTGGCCATGGCCCAAATAAAATGGAGTCGAGGCCTGTGTGTGGCCTGCGTGCCATAGGCTACCCAACTTTTTATATACATATGGTATGTACAGGATAACTTTGTAGGACCTGCATAGTTGTGACAACATAGATTTTGGAAACTAATGCCCGCATATTTAGAATAAAAAAAGCTGCCGCCAAGCGCAAACAAAAGCAGAAGGAGACAAATTGGAGGTTGTATATTTCTCACAACGTGTTTCAACTGCCGGACTGCAGTACACACAGCCTCTGCAGTCTTCGTTAGGAGTTTTAGTTTCCTGCACAGTGCACTGACTGCAATTTAAATGTAATTAAAACTTTGTGCCCGTGGTACACCATGAGAAAGGGCCAAGAATAAAATGTTTGGAATCAGAAAAAAGAACGGGAAAGGGAAGAGATGCTGGGACGGAAGTCCTCAAGACGGACAAAGATGGGCACGGCTCGAGATGAGCAGCAGGAAGAAATAAGGAGCACCGGGCCAGAAGTGGAGAAGGCTTGACCGAGCCAAGATTTCAGGAATGAAAAGGGGAGGGAACAGAGGGAGAGAAAAGACGAATCAGAAGTGAGCTGCACGGAGTAGCATCTGTTTTCACAGGGGGCGGTGGAGGGGAGGGATTCAGTGGGGGTTGCCACACACAAGTCACATGATTTATGGGAGGCTTGAGCTTATTGAAAAATATAGTGGCCGATCACAGGGTGTAGCAATTGTCATGTGACAAGTAAAAAAAGGCACTCTCCATTTCCCCGTTTTTGGCCAATTGGAGAAAGTGACATCACTTGGCTGTGCCGTGAATGTCAAAAAGCAGGGGGTGATCTTATGTAAAACGTCAGCCGTCATTTATGCACTTCTGTTTCTGAAATGTTAATGTCTGAGATGCATATGTTGTTCATTTGAGCTTAGCAGCAACTTTTGAACACAAACTTAAAACCACGTCTGAAACTATTCTCTTATGTTTTAACAATGCAAATGTTCAATACATTCAAACATTTATTGGGGTTTTTTTTTGTTGTTGGGAAAGTTTTGTTAGCTCGGGTGGACAGCACTGAATTTGGTGCATTCTGAAATGATGAGTATGGCAGAAAGCTTCGTGGGCGCAGTGGTTTAGCTGCAACCTAAGTGAGTGACGAGCACGAAAAGACAGTGTGGGCGAGAGTCTGGGGATAGGTAAGAAGGCAACATAAAACAGGGACGCAGGGACAGGGGAAGGGAAGGGGGATCACACAAGTGCAGCACAGTGTCTGTGGAGGTGAGGCATCGTTTGAGAAGACTTTGAGCAAAGTGCGACCAAGTTTAAGGAGACCGGCGGTGTTTGTGATGCTTAAGCGCACTGCTAGGCCTCTAACATTGCGAAACATTTGATGAATTTTCTTAAATGGGACTACAAAATTGCAATCAATATGCACACCAAGTTAAAGTGTAGAGGTAACGAATTGGGTGTTAAAAAACGTGTTTGTTATCCCACAACTTACGGAATATTTCACATGGTGCAACATTATTCGTTGTAAAGATACAATACTTTAAGACGCCATCGGGACTTTATGATCATACCCTATTATACAGGGAACACAATACGAGAGCTGGAATGTCCGATTCATTAAGTAACTGATTACTTTACCGATTATCGGTTCGATTATACGACTAATCGGATTACACGAAAAATAGTTGGGGGGGGGGAAGTCTCACCTTTGTTCCCCCATGTGTGACGATGGACGAGAGGTGTTGGGCGGAGCTTTATGACAATTCAGCATAATCCTCCTTGTCATGCTGGGCCAGAGTAATCAACCACAAAAAAGTAGCAGTTCACCCGCATGGACTTTTCAATCTCACGATTTGGCTGTCAAAATATGCACCGGGATCAAAATACTATGGTTGGAGAAGCATCTTCTTGGTGAGATTGTTTCCTTTCCGATAATTGGTGAGATACCAAGCCTAAATGCCAACGGTCACAATGAATGTTCACACAAAAGTTGGCGATTTGATCGACCAATTGTCCTCGCATCATAGACGTACATCACACACACATCCTGTATGCTTTGACATTATGGTGGGGCCAAGAAGCTGATGTCATGGGCCCTGGCCACCCACCCACAGATGACTCTGCAATTGGCCATTGATGCCTTTAGCATGGCAGTCATTGTACTTGCCTGGAACCAGAGGAACCCTGATTAAGATTTGTACAGGTGTTGCATACTGCAGACTGGCAGTGGGAAAATGTAATGTACGTTTAATATATGAGGGCACATTCCGCTTTTTTTGTATACACATCATTTTTACACATTCGAACAGATATTACACATGCTGTAACGCAGGATCATGGGAGGCTGATGCTATGCTCTCGAGGACAAACACACACATCGGCCACATATATACGTGTATATGCACACGCGTTACAGAATATATACAAAATACTTTCATACTTGTACATAATCCATGAACATTCATATATGTACGTGTACATCGATAAATATTTACACACATACGTAATTCAGTGCGTAGCACCCACTAACAGAGGCGTTGACCAAATGTTAAATAATGTTGATAAAACAATAAAGTGGGGCGCATGCTAGGAATTGGACTGACAGAAAGAACAACGCGTGGATCAGGGAACAAAATGCAAATTTTAGACGTCATGTTGACTGTTAATATACAGTATATATGTGCAAAAAATACACGTAACATTTGAATACAAATATGCCCCCTTGCACCTATATCTGTGTATAAGCACTATATAATAGTATTAATAACTTTTTCTAGTTATACATTGATATGATTTATATACAACAGATACACACGTGTAATATGCAGACGGGCCGAATGCCCCACACATGCACGTTCATCGACATACATGCAGACACGCGTTAACGCAAAGATCCCCCGTATAACCTTAACAGACTGTTGGGGCAAGTGCTGTTCGCGAGCACCTATGAAGGCCGGCACGGCACACGAGAGGGTAGGTGGCCAGCACCACGCCCGGCCGCCTTTGTCTCCCTGTGTAAACATCGCACCAGCATATTATTTGAGGCCGAGTCGACCCAGATGAGGCCCAGATTATTGTCACTGGTGTTGGCCGTGAGCGGGAACCGAACTCAGGTCGCCAGGTTTCGCAGCGCAGTGCGCTAACCGCTACACTACCGTTCCCCCACATGCACATGCACTTGCACAGACACATACAACACCACTGCCACTCCTCGCCATTCGCCAATAAGTGACGGTGACGCAACCACGGCGCCTGTGCCAGGCCAGGTGCACTTTGAGGCCGCCACGTGAAGTGTCGAAGGCTCGCTGCTGATAGGTCACCGGACAGACCCAGCAGGTGCCATGGGTTGGGTGACTGAGATAACCGGTTGATGCACCCAGCTGTACCCCCTACTGTGCCAACTTGCTTTTTAGCCGCCTGGCGCTCCGCTCGTTGTTGTGAGTGTCGCTCCGCTGTCCTTCGTTGGTGCCTCCAACTGCCCAGTAGCGTCCTTCACGAGCCTCCTCAACAGAAGCCGATCTTGACACCACTGGTACCAGTCATCGGCAAGTCCACTGAGCTCCACATCCTCCCGTACCGCATCAGTCCACCTCATCTCCAGCCCGTGTCGTGCCCGTTTAACCCCCTCTATGCGGCCAAACAGAAGCTGCTTGGGCATGTAGTGGCTGGGCATGCGAGATACATGACCCAGCCAACGCAACCTTGCCTGTCGGAGGAGCTCACTTATGGGAATGTGTCCAGATCTGTCAAGGACTTGTGAGCTCCTCACACAATCCAGTCTAGTTAAACCCAGGATGGATCGAAGGCAGGCCAGCCTGGATATTTGTAACCTGCGCAGATGTTTCATTAGAGGGGTCCACGTGTGACAAGCATGACTTTGGCCGAGAAGACCCAAAGCTTCCTTTGGAGCGACAGACCAGGTAGCCTCCACACAGCATTACACAGCCGATTAAAAGATGCCGCCCAACTGATTCGAAGTGAGACCTCTGCTGGTCATAAGCACACTGTCCAGGCATGGGAAACTCCACTCCCTCGAAATCTGCTGCATCACCAATGGGGAGTTGAGGGGGTGGAATGTTTGATGGCATAAACAACCCAAGCAGGTGCTTAGTTTTGGTGGGGCTGATGGTAAGTCCCCACCTCTTAGCAGCAGCACCTCCAACTCCTCGTCTGAGCAGCAATCACCAGATCATCGGCATACAGAACATGGTTGACTAATAGGGAGCCATCCCTCGACCGCACTCGAGCATCGATCAGCCTCCCATTGTATTTGTACCAGAATTCCTCCGGTACAGTCATGGAAAGTTTATCGAACTACGTGGTCAAAGATGATGTGAAATGTGGGAGCCAGAGGATATCCCTGTCGCATCCCAAGGTGAACAGGAAATGGCTGACTCCTGGCCACGTAGCTTTACCCACGCCTGTCCACCACCCTGAAGGCCCTTAATGATTGTGAGCAGATAGACAGGGACTCCAAAAGCACACAAAACAGCCCAGGGTCCTGGCCTGTTGATGGTATCATAGGTCTTGATCAGGTCAATAAAACAGAGATGTAGGTCTTGTTCGAATATACACACACACATACATGCACAAACACGTGCGTATCTGTGGGAAGCAGTGGACCCGAGTGTGGAAACATTAGTTAGGTGTGGGAGACCTTGATTGGGGTTGGGATATCTGGGTTATACAGATAGGTGTGTAACGCCTGGGGTTAGGTGTGCAGACCTTCCACACCCACTCCTAGGGTGTGCGTTAGATGTGTAAGACCTGGGTGTGTGGCATGGGGGCATGGGTTAGGTGTTGGAGACCTGGATTAGGTGTGGGAGACTTAGGTTAGGGGTGAAAGGCCTTAGGTTGATATGGGGGGACACCTCGGTTAGGTTTGAGACTTCTGGGTTGGGTGCGAGAGATGATCTATGGCGTTGGGACACCCCAGTTATGTGCGGTGGACGTTGGTTGTCAGGAAGCTGGAATTTGTATCGTCTGGATATTGTCTGGATCACTCTTGACTACATCACTGTCTACTGCACTAACAATCTTAACTGCAATCTCTAAAAAATACATCTCATTGTGAACTAATTTGTATAAACTCCCAATCTTAATATGCACGACCATCTCAGTCCAGGTGACAAAATCTCAAGCTGAATCACGACCCCACAATAACCTCAGTTGCATCTCCCACCTCCACTGCACCCTCAATCACATTTACTGTTATTGTTATTCTTGAAAATTACGTTGATATTAATAGTCATAAAAGTATTACTTAAATAGTCGTATCCGTGACAAAAAAATATATAAGTTAAGTTTGCAACTGAAAATATGCCATAGTGTGCGAGGCTGTGTGCGTGCGACTGTGTGGCATTGTTGAGTGAAATTGTGTGCGCGCGCGAGCGTGATTGTGCGTGTGACCACGTGTGCAAATCCACACGTAATTGCGCGTGTGCAAGACTGTGTGCGACCGAGCGCGTGTGTGCGAATATCTTTGGGTACAGGGTGGCCCAAAAGTTAATTTGCCGGTAACAGTGCATCCCTATGAACGGATAACTTATTTTGCACCGTATATAGCCAACCGTGCTCTCGGCAAACTTTCGGGTCACCCTATATTGTGCCACCATGCTTGCATGATGCGACTGTGCGTTTGTGCGCGTGCGCACGACCGTGCATTTTCCTGCATGAAAAGCACGTACCGAACGGGCTACCATCAACTCCTGTCAATTTGCCATCGTGTTGAATGCTGTCGGAATAAACGACATGGATTAACAATAATCGGACTCCATGTCATACTTGATATCGACAGCAGTTTCTCCCATGACCCTCCACGGTACAGCTTTCTGTGATCATCATCAGGTGTGTAGCGGCCTCATTTGCATATTATGAAACAAATATTGGTAATCATGAAAATGCAGACTGTGGACATGGGGGAGGAAGTTGCACAAGGGCAGACATTTTGTGAAACACTCTTAAGTCTACAGGGCATGTGGGTGTCAGAAACCAACCACTTCGTGTACCCAGGTCTAGTCATCCACAATATCAGTCATCTGCATCCAGGAACCACACCTGTCAGTCACCTACACCCAAGGGGTCCTGGTGTAAAGAACGTGCGGTGTATCACCGTCCCCTCTCACTTCACGTCTCCGCGTGCCGATGGCGTGCTGCACACGCGCGTCTCCAACGATGTAGCCTGGGCATCTTGGTTTCTTACAAGTTTAAATGCACTCCCACCAAATCACAGCCAACCCACTGCAGAGCTCAACACCCCGCCCTTCACGAGTCCCAGCAATCTGCACTGCCAGAGCCCCCCAGCCAAACCGCAGTGCTCGACCACAACTTCCATCCACCCATCTTCGTAGCCCAGCACCTGGACTCTTCCAGCCCGTGGGCCCAAGGTACAGTTGCAATGCCTGCACACTCGATA